CCTCAAACACCTTAGAATGTTTATTTTTCTTTTTTCAGTGTCCAATGAACGACTTTTGCACGTTCATATTGCAGCGCCTTAAGAACGGGTGGAATAAAATTTCTACTTTTTTTTTTTGCCAAATGTTAATGAAACTATTATATATTTTAAAGTTGTATTAAGATATATTGTTTTATTACCTTTCTCAGCAAGCAGCATTGCACTAAGCATAAAAATATCCCTGATGCATCAACATTTGCAATTCAATTTCAACTGCTCAATAACCTTTTGTTTTGGCTTTGAGACTGAACAATTAGAATTTTCAATGCTTAAATCCATCAAGTATCAAGCCAGAAAAGACCTTAAACAGTCTGTTGCAACAGAAAATTTTGAAATGGTTCCGCAGGTTCAGAAGATCAGAGGTAATGCTACTTTATAGGACAATCGTTGTTTCTGTCCATCTAGCTGTAGATATATTTCTTCGACCTCGTCTGGAATCGGTAAAGAACAGAAATTTTCAAAACTGATGCTGTTTTATCAGCAGCACTGGAGCATCCACGTCACCAACAATCAATACGTAGAACTCTTTAGTTCCTTCAAAAATGAATAAAAAAAAGCTTTCCCGTAGCTGCTTCCAGTTGTCTGTGCGTTTTTTTTCTTTTTATGTTTACTTCTTTGATGTAATACGTACAAAAAAATATTTTATACTTTGTCACGTAAGCGACAGAAATAGCGTAAGAAGTAGCCGGCGCAACAGACGGTGAGAGTGCCAAGGACTCAGTGTTGCTTATTTTGCACGAATCAGGGTGGTTGTAGTGCTTCAACAGCATCAGTGGAGCTCGGTTGTTCGGCAAATTAAGTTGCATATTTGCACGTCGCCTGGTCCTCAGTCGTTCCGTTTAAATACTTTTACACGCAGCAGAACGTTGCTCATAGTATCCAGATGCCTTAGTCTTGTATATTCGGCTCATTGTTTTCATTGGCATGGAGGGATGTTGATAGTGCTTGTTTAATAGTTGGCATATTGAAGATGACAGACCTGACGAATAAAAGAATGGAACTGTTAGTTGTTTGAGATTTCTGGATTACTAATATGATTATAGGTAGCTGTGAAAGATTAGATGTTAGAATATATTGAGTTTAACCGGCGTTTTCTAATAACGGTCAGTTTCCTCATTACTATCATTGAATCTGGATATGACACAGTTTCAATTTTCATCTTTATATTTGATATGATAGTATGTGGTCAATTGCTTTTTTGCTTTCACTTATCACGTATTTGTGCGTTTTAACAATCAGGTATTTTATTAGAAGTCATAAGAACTAAATTTTATGCCTTTATTAGCCCTCACTAGCGCTCTTTGATTATGTTTCTTTTCTAGACGATTAACAACGCTTTTGTATACGTGCATTTTACCTGGTTAAAATTGGGGGAAGAAGAATAATGTTATTTTAAAGACCTGTTCAATGATCTTCTTGTTGGTTTGCGGTTTACAGCCGCAAAAAAGAGTGTTTATTTTGATTTTATATAAACTATTTTGCTACCAGTAGAGTTCCATTTAGTAAAATTCAATTTATTTTTGCTTATTTTGACCATCTGCTTCCTGCATATTTTACATGTTGAGAGCGGAGTTCCTTTGAAGCTAGGGAATTGAGAATTGTGATAAGGATGGTAATAAATTTCTTTATAATAAACTTCTTTAGTTTTTTTGTGCTAAGAATTAGGTCAGCTATGCTTGAGGAATAAGATCTAGTGATACGCTTTTTATACACTTGTGATGGATTCGTAAATGATACGCTTCTTCGTTAAATATTGGTACTTTTGTATCATTAAGAAACTGGATATATCTTTACAGGCGGTTTTTTTTTGCTGGAAGTCCGCTTTCAAAGGGGAAGCCATGTTGTCACGATTCGCTTCATCGACACTCGCTCTTCAAGCGGCATCATTGCCGAAAGTAATAACTTGACTGTAAATATTCTACTAATATCAGCCATTAGTTTTAAGCTTTTAGAGCGGCTAACTTCTATATGTTATGCTTTCCGCCCTATATACTTGTCGGTGATTACATTGTACTGTTTTTGCTTTTGTAGCATATCCGATTCCAATCCACAATCGCTCATACGATAAAAGTGCAAGAGCGAATTAAAGAAATGAGATCAAAAGCTGCACTTGGTGGTGGTCAAAAGAGGATTGATGCACAACATAAAAGGGTTGGTCACCTTTTTTCTTAATTCTTTTTTAGTGATTAAGCTGCAGTATTTGTGTACGAGTCGTTTTGTTTTAAGGCAGTAATGGTCATCCAAATTCAAGAAACTGCTTTTACTGCTGCTGCAATTGCTGATTACTTGCTTAAGGATTTCAGGGCAAACTGACAGCGCGTGAACGTATTCAACTGCTGTTGGACCCTGGGTCATTCGTTGAATATGACATGTTTGTCGAACATAAATGCCACGACTTCGGGATGGAGAAAGAGCGAGTAAGATTTTGCACGTAAAAAAGTGAAAATCGTTGTTATAAAATTTTTTTGTGAATCATTAGTTTTTTTATTATTAGGGCCTGATTCTATTCATATTTATGGGTCGCCTAAATCTTTAAAGAACTTACTCTCTATTGTGTTACTAACGTAGTTTGCTGCTATGTTCCACAAAACTTCCGGTTTTTTTAGCCAGTTTCAATCAGCGGATTTATGATTTTTTAGTACCCTGGTGACAGCGTTGTGACTGGTCGTGGTACCATCTCGGGCCGTGTAGTGTTTGTGTTCTCACAGGACTTTACCGTTTTTGGTGGCAGTCTTTCTTCTGTTCACGCTAACAAGATCTGCAAAGTTATGAAGGTACTGTTTTGAGTCAGTCGTCTTTGGTTGTTATTAGTATTGTACGTTGCTTTTTGGAAGGGATTTTGGTCAGATATTTATTTAAAGAGATGATGTGTTGTAGGGAGCCATGGAAGTTGGCGCTCCAGTCATTGGTTTGAATGACTCTGGCGGAGCTCGTATCCAGGAAGGTGTTGAATCTCTTGCTGGTTATGCCGATATTTTCCAGGTATTTTTTTACACGTGAACATTAATTAAGTGTGGTGCTTTTAGTTATGTTGGTCTGATAAATAGATGTGAAGACTGTTTACTGTTTTACTTAATGGTTGATCGACGAGTAGTAAATTTTTTTGTTTTGACATTAGAGCATTTCTCAGTGAGAGTTTTTGAAAGACAGAAATAATTATTTGCTTTTTTTTTTTTCTTTTTTGTTTTGTTCTGTTATCACATTGAAAAAACCTTTAGGCCAACGTTATGTCTTCCGGTGTTATCCCGCAAATTTCCTTGATCATGGGACCTTGCGCTGGTGGTGCTGTTTACTCACCAGCTCTGACTGATTTCACTTTCATGGTTAAAGATACATCCTATTTGTTCATTACTGGACCTGATGTTGTCAAAGCCGTCACTAATGAAGAAGTAACACAGGAGGAACTTGGTGGTGCTAAAACGCATACTGCGACATCTGGTGAGCTCATTTATAATAAGGTACGGTGTTTAATGCAAGAGGCGAGGGAAGAAAGCTGCGGCAGCATGTATTTTATTTTAGTCTCTTAGTAAGTTTGACTATCAAAATATGGCACTCGTTAACTACTCGTGGTTTTCGTAACATTGCAGTATGTTAATTTTTTCATCTGTCTGTTTTTTAAAAGTCTTTGAGGCTTTATAGTTTGAAATTGGCATGTTTAGGTGTTGCTCATGGCGCTTTCGAAAATGATGTTGATGCTTTACAAAATATTCGCGACCTTGTCAACTACCTCCCACTTTCTAACAATGACCCATCACCAATCCGTGTTTGCGATGACCCGTGGGATCGCGATGTTCCTAGCTTAGATACTGTTGTCCCTCTTGAAAGTACTGCTGCGTATAACATGAAGGATGTTATCTTTGCTCTGGTAGATGAGGGTGACTTCTTTGAAATCATGCCTGACTATGCCAAAAATGTTGTTGTTGGTTTTGGAAGGATGAATGGGCGAACCGTAGGTGTAGTTGGAAACAACCCCAAATTCGCTGCTGGTAAGTGGTGTT